TTGTTAAAGGTAACAACTAAGGGAAAGGGATTGTATATAATTAAAAAAAAAGAAAAAAAGAAAAAAAAAGAAAAAAAATGATAATAAAAATGTAGATAAGTTTGGTTTCGTAGCCTCCCTAACCTAAGCAATTAAGCCCGAAGGGGTGTTTTAACACCTAATACCCTAAAGTCAATTGACTTGGGAGCTATTGGCCCAACGCTTGTTACATGGGTTGAGGAGAAAAGCTTAAGGAAATCAAACATTACACTATCTACTTATCAATATCTGCGACCCGAGTTACTAAGCTCGTAGGGGTGTCTGAACACCTAATGCCCTAAGACCAACTGGTCTGGGAGTCATTAGCCGAAAGCTCGTTACATGACTTAAAGATGCATGGTGTTTTTAAATTATATGTATATATATTTAAAACAAAAGGAAGAAAAAAAAAGACAAAAATAATAATCCCAACCCAAGGAAGTTAACCTTAAACATTAGAACAAAAAAATTGTTTTCTTCCAAGAAAAGCCCCATAATTATGTGTTGATACATTGAGCACAAAAGAAAGGTTTATGAATATCTTGTTAAGAGGTATTGAGTAGGTATATAAATTTAACGAGAGTTTGTTTATCTGGATAGATTAATGGAAGTTAAATGATGAATACCTTGCTTTGTGGAATTTGCAAATTGTTTTTCTATTTTAACGCTTTGATTACTAGGGACTAGTAATAAGCTGGTTGGGGGGGGGTGTGATTAGTACTTAAAAGTGCATTTTTATCATGGTTTTATATCATCATTTTGCACTTGAAGTATCAATAACTCCTTAACTAAAACATGTTTTATAATAATATATCTAATAATATAAGATACCTTTAATTTGTGGTAAATGTTTATTTTAAATGCAGGCCTATCACATAAATGAAAGAATTGATTGATGACTTTATGAACTTAAATTGCAAGGGCAAAGAGATGACCAAAATTACAAAAGAGATGTCGGTGCAATCCAAACCGGAACATTATTCGGTAATTGGGTCATATCTGGAGTTATAGATCTCAAATTTAGGTCTACTTTATATGGATGGAAAGGTAAGACATAGGCCTATAACTTTCATACGGAGCCCAAAATCTAAAAAGGTCATTTTCAAGTCCAAATTATTGCAACAACAAAGAAGCCCGAAGTTGTCCTCTAGCCCGAGCACTGTTTAGTATTTTGGCCATATCTGGAGTTCTAGAAGTCCAAATGAGTTGAATGTTTTACACAAGAAAGCTGAGACAATTGCCTTCAACTTTCATGTTTTCAAGTGGCTCTAATTTTGACGTTATCAATGACGTGTTGGGTAGACAAGAGAAGATAAGGATTGTCACCAAGTCAAGAGTTGACCACCCACTCATCAATTAGTCATCAAATCAATAGTTTCCAATTTTGGCCTATAAAAGGAGGCATTTGCCATGCATTTAGGCATCTTGGTGTTCAGATCAAGATCATGCTCTTGCTTTCTCTCTTTGTATTTTTTGTAATGTTAATGCTTTACTTTCATTAATATCAAGTTTATGCCTTTCATTTCCTTGCATTTACTTAGTTAACTTTAATCTTATTCATGTTCTTATTTTGTTTATTTATTTTTCTTTCTTTCATTATATCTAACTAAGTTTATTATGTCAAGGTGAAAAGGTTACACTAATGGTGTAAGAATAAGTATAGTGTAAACTCAATATGGACTTTAATGTTTGATGCTAACATGTTTTATATTTGTTATCTTGTTCACTCTTTAATACTTTGCTTGTTAAATGACTAATCTTGATTTATGTTGTATAACACTTGGTAAAATAAATACTTGGCACTTTCATAGTTCATATTGTATGGTATAATCGACACCTGAGCTATGAAAGGAACTTGATTTGTTGTTAACATAAGTTATAATTATGAATGCTTAACGAGATTTACAAGTACTAGCATTAATCGAATAAGATAACTAATGTAATCATGTTAACAATCTATAATCTGATTGGAACCTCCTTTGTGTGTGGTTTCCAATTGAATAATAAGAGTTTATACTATATTTGTTTGACATACCATTAGTGGAACCTCTAACCTTGACATTTGTTATTATTATTGTTTAATCCTTACATTAATTTTCCATCTCCAAGTTCTCATCATCTTCTTCTTCTCTTTCTTTTTTATTATTATTATTATTATTATTGTTATTGTCATTGTTGTTATTATTGTTATTACTATTATTATTGTTGTTGTTATTATTATTATTGTTGTTGTGTTGTTGTTATTTATAATTTGTACAATTAACCTCCCTGTGGTTCGACCCCGGTCTTGCCGGGTTATTTATTACTTCGATACTCCTGCACTTGGGAGAAGACATCAATCTTTTAGTCGTGTCACCTGTAGTTCCTCTCCAATTATTTTCCAATGATGTCCCCTTGTGTTAAAGCTTTGAGGAAGACCACCAAACTTGACTACCTCATAAAAATACAGCTATTGACACATCTCTTATTAACTCAGGACTGCCTCCCCCATACATTAAATGAATCTTTCTCTTAACTAGCACCTGACCTAAGGAAAGGTAAGACAAAAGCCTATAATTTTTATGTAGAGATCTGGTTTTAATTAGGTCATTTTCAAGTTCAAATTGTAGCAAGAACGAAGAAGTTCGAATATATCCTACAACCCAAACACTGTTCAGTGTTTGGCCTATTTCTAGAGTTCTAAAAGTCTAAATGACCTCTATTTTTTTCCTGGAAAGTTGAGACAATTTTCTACAACTTTCATATTTCAAGTGGTTCCAATTCTGACATTATCAATGATGTTTTAGGTAGACAGGAGAAGATAAAGATTGTCACCAAGTCAAGAGTTGGCCACCCACTCATTAATTAGTCATCAAATCAATAGTTCCCAATTTTAGCCTATATAAGGAGGCATTTGCCATACATTTAGGCATCTTGATTTCCATACCAAGATCATGTTCTTGTTTTCTCTTTTTTTTTTTAATTTTTGTAACGCTTAAATTTTTCTTTCATTAATATCTTGTTTATATCTTTCATTTACTTTCCTTTACTTAGTTAACTTTTATCTTATTTATGTTTTTATTTTGTTTATTTATTTTTCTTTCTTTGATTATATTTAGTTAAGTTTATTATGTCAAGGTGAAAAGGTTACACTAATGGTATAAAAATAAGTATAGTGTAAACTTAACATAAACTTTAATGTTTGATACTAACATGTTTTGTATTTGTTATCTTGTTCACTCTTTAATACTTTACTTGTTAAATGACTAATCTAGATTTATGTTGTATAACAATTGGTACAACAAATGCTTGGTACTTTTATAACCCATACTGTATGGTATAACCGACACCTGAGCTATGAAAGGAACTTGATTTGTTGTTAACATAAGTTATAATCATGAATGCCTGACAATATTTACAAGTATTAGCATTAATCGAATAAGATAATTAATGTAATCATGTTAACAATTTATAATCTAATTGAAACCTCCTTTGTGTGTGGTTTCCAATTGAATAATAAGAGTTTATACTATACTTGTTTGACATACCATTAGTGGATCCTCTAACCTTGATATTTGTTGTTATCATTGTTTAATCCCTATATTGATCTTCCATATTAAAGTTCTCATCAACTTCTTTTTTTTTTCTTCTTCTTCTATTATTATTATTATTATTATTATTATTATTGTTGTTGTTGTTGGTGTTGTTGTTGTTGTTGTTGAATTGTTATTATCTATAATTTATATAATTAACCTCCCTGTGGTTTGATCCCGATCCTATTAGGTTATTTTTTATTTCGACACTCCTACACTAGGGAGAAGACATTATTTTTTTGATCATGTCAAACATGCAATGACCTTTAAGCCCATTTTGAATATAATAAAAAACAGGCTTAAATCCCTATTAATCATTATCATTTACGAGGTCTACACCAAGTATTTTCAAAATAAAGATTAAGTTTTATTGCCATGTCTAGATTATAAATCACTACTTAGATCCTAGTAGTTTTTATCTTTCATAAAAAGTGCACATAGACCGATTTAGACAAACATTTAACATATAGGCATAATAAACACCTTTATTATAAATTAAAAATAAATATGAAATAATTTAATTTAGATAGGATATCTTAGGATAATTTTCTTGTTTCTTTAGTATAACCAACCCTTGTTCAATAATTATTGAAAGATTAATTAGAATTTTCTAGTTACTATGAAAATTTAATTTTTAATTTTTTTCTTATTAATCCTATATAAACTCGTTAAGATGTCGCCTACGAAAATAAAAAAGGAATTAACTAACAAATACCTTTGATGTTAGAATCGAGTTGCTAGTGGGGTGAGGTAGGATTTTGATAGCAATTTAGCCTGTAACTTGAAACCAAGTCCAAAGAATTGCATGCTGGTTTTACTTGCCATTATCACTCGGCATTTTTCCTGGTTTGTTTGGGCTGATAGCAAAATCATTGCAATTGCGAAGCCAGTATTGGCAACAACACAATTCTTCCATATGATGAAACTCAAATTTTGATTGATATTTTGATAAAATTGAAAAAGGAATAACCAATCGGTTTCCTTTTAAAACAACATTTGGTGGCATTCAAATTAATAGGATCCAACACACACACACACACACACACACACACAAGGGGTGAACTGGTATTCAATAGGCATCAAATTCTCCAAATTCTTCTATTGTTATCCCGTATTAGAGCCAGATCCTTTGAACCACAAAACACTACATTTATCCAACATTGTTGGCTACCTCTTTTGCTTCCTTTTCCTTTTCTTCTTCTACCTCCTCCACTACTGCATCACGACTGTTCGCTTCACTTTCTGGCCACTCTAATCAACAAAAAGCAAGAATCTTTCTTCTCTTTTAAAATAACATTTGATGGCATTCAAATTAATGGGATCCAATACAATAAAAGTATCATATATCAATATATAAAGTGATGAACTGGTATTCATATATATATATATATATAGACACACACATGAATATCAATAAATAAAGTGATGAACTGGTATTCAATAGGCATCAAATTCTTCTTGTTTTTTTTTTGTTTTTTGATTGATAACCCGGGGTGACGCGCCAGCTTCCAAATTCTTCTATTGTTTTCATAGTATTAGAGCAAGATCCTTTGGACCACAAAATACTACATTTATCTAACATCAATGGCCACCTCTTTTGCTTCCTTTTCCTTTCTTCTTCTACCTCCTCCACTACTGCATCACGACTGTTCGCTTCACTTTCTGGCCACTCTAATCAACAAAAAGCAATAATCTTTCTTCTCTTTTTATCTACTAATAAAATTTAGCAAAAATACAAAAATCTTATTTAAAATAAAAAATAACTAACCCAAAAATAACGATAAAAAATCCATCAATTGAAACATAAAATCAAAGCTGTCCTTGTAAAAAACTCTGAAAACCCATCTACATATAAATACAAAACGTTAGCCAATATCAAATTAAAGGCATATAAACATAAAACAGATGGTACCTTGACAATCTTCATTTCCTCTTCTAGCACATAGAATCTGTCCTTTAATCTGAAAACTTGGAGGAGTATTTGCTTTGAAGACGGGTGGGGACTGCAAGCAGTACAAGTGGAATTGCCATTTTGAAGAGAAAAGAAAGTACAGAGATGAAGGGAGAATCATCCCTATTCAATTTTCAGGGGATAAGGAAACTTATCTCTAGAATCAGTTCCATATGGAAAGCTGAAAAATCCCATAAAAAAAAAAACAAAGGAGCAAATAACACAAAAAATGGATAACACCAGGCAATCTTAAAAAAAGATAGCCATTGTTTTGCCTGAAACATATGGATTTTGAACATAAGCTATGTTTGAAAATAGTTTAAAGAATAAGAAATTATAACGGGGAAGAAGAGTGAGTGGGGGAAGAAACTGCCAAAGTTTCCACTTCTGGATGCACTTAATGAACTAGAACAGTGGAAAATCGAAGAGACCTCATGACAAATTATATCTAGAAAACTAAATGAAGGACAAGATCGTAATAGCACACCTCGACTCATGGTCAAGAGGGGAAAAGGACAAGGTGAAGGTGAAATTATAACAAAAGCTGGTATGGAGTTTTTCTTGTTTATTTTTTATTGTTCAATAAGATATACATGTTGAAGTAGCGTGATGGTATGGTTATTCTATTTAAAAAAATTTATTAGGCATATAACCGGTGCTAGGTTGTCTTTTTTATTAGATATAATTGATATTGAAAGAATAATAGGTAGATAAAATGATTCATTTTATTTTTTTAGGGTTTGATTACTAAGAATAATATAGTTTTCAAACACTTATATTAGGATCAGACATATTTGTCAGACCCTAGGCATTTGGGCTAACAGACTCGCACGACGGAGTTTGCAGACCCACGTGCCTAGATCATCATACTTGTATGCTTGAGTTTTGTATCACATATTATTATTTTTGTTGTTATTATTGTTGTTATTAAATTTGAAAAAAATATTATTAAAATTAAAGAGAAACTATATATTTGATTTGAAGGGTAAAATTAAAAATCTATAAAAACTTGGTTTAGATATGTTTAATATTATTAATAATTTTTTTAAAAATTATTACTATTTAAAAAAACTGATAGATTTGATTTGAAGGGTAAAATTACAAATTATTATTGTTATTGTTGTTAGTATTATTCTTATTGTTGTTGTTATTAAATTTTTTTAAAAAATATTATTACTATTAAAGAAAAACTATAAATTTAATGCACCTGGTACAAGTAACTTGGGTCTGGCCCAAGAATTTGGGGGTGTGGCAAGGCCGAACCCCAAGAACTAAGGTCTGGTAGGGGCGCAAGATCCATGTTACTTGGATTTCGAAGAGAGCGTCATACCTAACAAATGTGAGTATAAAGTTTGTTAAAAATATTTTTTTAACACAATATGGAACATACAATATAAACTTGAATTGTAAAATCGCAAGTAAAACTTTTTAACTAAAAATCGTAAAATTGTATGTAAAATAAATTAGAAAGCCCTTCTTTTCTTCACATATGCTTCTTGATTTTTCACCAAAATATTTAAAATCATCTTTTAATACTTGTTGGCATGTCCTAATATCCTTTCAAGTGCAAGACAAATAATGCTTGAAATGGTAAATGCCTCAACTGATAATTTTCTAACAATACTTATATTGAACTCTTTTTGAATTCTTATTAACATCTATACCATATTGTCGTCTCATGTCAAGTCTATTGTCACCGGTAGTTTTTTTAGATGCCATGTATCTTGTAATTTAAGAATCAATATATACACTTATGCATCAATAAAATATTAGATAGAATAGGAACACATAGAAATCAAGACAGTATAGTTTAGAAAACATTGCAGAAGAATAAAACTCATCAATCAATATCTGCATCAGTATAAAATAAAATTCATGTTTAAACACATTTCTTTTCTTTCTATAACTATGCAGATAATGTCTTAGAATGTTCTTCCCTTGCTTAGTTACTCACTGATAGCAGTTCAGCTTCTCAAAGCTGGTGGAAAAATTCAAAATAAGCTCATCCAATAGTTAGCATAATACATTCGCATACAAGGCAACGATAAAACATGCATATTGGCCTCCTACAATAGCTCTCTCTATTCTTCAGAAGTTCCAACACGACAATATTTACTGGATGCCTGCAAGCAAGTATTCTTTGCTAATCTGTAATGCTACATTTAAGGCTGTTGTTGGATGTTTCAATTTATGAGATGTTGATCATGGCAATGCCGTGTTGTTTTTTATTTGGATGACTTTGTAATTTTGACATTTAACAGCAGAAAATCATGGGGCTCATGATATGATTTTTTTTTTTTGGAAACTAAGTTTGCAATCTACTAAGGCATCAGTCTATCATATTTTTAAAGTTAATTGCCTATAATGGCATGTAAACTACCAATGGTTAACTGCTTGACCGCTTTTTATGATCGGCTTGTTTTAACTCGCAAGTGCACGAGTGTGCGATGTAGTAATTAACTCGGTAAGATCGAGGTCATATCCACAGAGAGCTAGATCTGGAAATTAAGCTAACTAAGAAAAAAAACTCAAGAGAAATTAAATTAACAATAACTTGGTTGAAAATAATTGATGGATGTGTTTGCAAAGAGAAAAAAAATGTAAATAGATTTGAAA